AAGCCACACTCAAATACTACTTTTCTACATAGTCACCATACAAATTAAGGCATTTATCGTAGCGATGTACGAGCTTGGAAATTCCTTCGTCGAAAAATTCGGCCGCCTGCGCCTTCAACCACTTCGTTACCTCTTCTTGCAGCTGTGCGTCGTCATCAAAACGCTGCATAGCCAGCCACTTCTTCATTGCTGGGAATAGGTGGAAGTCGCTCGGTGCCAGGTCGGGACTGTACGGCGGATGAGGAAACAACTCCCACTTAAAAGATTCAAGAACTTTACGAGTGACATTTGCCGTGTGGGGCCGGGCGTTGTCGTGAATCAACAAGATCTTAGAGCTCAACATTCCTCTGCGCTTGTTTTGAATTGCTCTTCTGAGTTTTTGGAGAGTTTGGCAATACCTTTGAGAGTTTATTGTAGTGCCTCTTTCCAGGAAGTCCACCAAAATTACACCTTTTCTGTCCCAAAAAAACAGTCGCCATCATCTTCCTTGCCGACATTGTTTGCATGCATTTCTTGGGTTTTTGGGGAGAACTTGTGTGCCCCCACTGCATTGATTGCAATTTCGTTTCACAGTTCACATGTTTCACCCATGTTTCGTCACCAGTAACGATGCGATCGAGTAAAGAGTCACCATCCTTATGGTAAGCGTCCAAAAAGTTCAACGCTGCAGCCATTCGCTGATTTTTGTGGTCCTCTGTCAAGATTTTTGGAATCCATCTTGCACAAAACTTGTGGTAACCAAGCTTTTCGCTGATGATTTCGTGCAACAAACTTCGCGAAATTTGTGGAAAACTCAAAGAAAGTTCCGTTATTGTGAAATTTCGATTTTCACGGACTTTAGCATCGACTTTTTCGAGAAGTTCGGCGGTCACTATGCTGGGTCTCCCACTTCGATCTTCGTCGTGAACATTGGTTCGGCCATTTTGAAATCTTATGACCCACTGACGCACTCCACCTTCAGTGATAATGTTGTCCCCATACACTTCACGAAGCTGCCGATAGATTTCTATCGGTTTACAGTTTTTTGCAGTCAGAAACCTTATTACTGAGCGCACCTCGCATCGCGGGATTTTCAATTAACGCAGACATTTCAAACCGTCACAGTATCTGAACGGAGCACAGCACGAACCTCTCACTAGCACGGCTAGATGCAGACTGAGCTGCGCAACGCTCTGACCCCAAGATGGCCGCGCTAGCCCCGCCCCTAGCGGACACAGACGGAAACGTAATCTACTTCCTGGATGGCCCTCGTATATGATCTGACTACGTTATTTTTCTCTAGAAATTCGTCTATTTCTGCTATGTCAATTCTGTCTTTAAATTAGGTTGATTCTTCCAGGATCCATTGCTGCATACAGTTTTTCATCGAACTTCACATTACAGGTTTCTATTAATTTGCGTTCTTCTGGCAGCCATATCCTATAACCCCTAGTTTCCTTCGCATATCCTACCATGATTCCTTCTTTGCACCTCATTTTTAATTTATTCCTAATCTGTTTTGGCACGCCAACATAGGCTTTACAACCAAATACTTTAAAATAAACAACACTGGGTTTTCTATTTAGGAACATTTCATAAGGGGTTCGGTTGCTTTTATGACATACTCTGTTCCACGTATGTACGAAACAGCCAAGAGCTTCTGCCCACCATTCTTTTCCCATCATTAAGCATAGCTTTAACTGCGTCTAATGCCGTTCGGTTAAAACGTTCACACACACCGTTCTCTTCTGTGGTGTACGCGTTCGTGCGTTCAGCACTAATTCCATTTTCGGCTAAGTACCCTTCGAATTGCCTGTTACAGAATTCCCCACCATTATCGGTGCGTATACTCATTAATTTTCTATTCGTCAGTCTTTCCATTTGCCTATGATAATTCTTAAAATTGTAGAACGATTCGTTTTTATTTTTCATACAATACACTGTTACTAATCTACTATAGTCATCTACAATAGCAGAGAAAATATTTACTCCCACCCTTAGATGGAACTGGTAGTGGGCCACAAACGTCTAAATAAACCAACTGCAATGGTTTATCCGATCTCTTCGGAACAGATTTTTAAAAGTTATTCTACTAGATTTAGCAATAATACACGGATTTCACACCTCTCCTATTGGTTTTTCAATTTCTGGTAACCCTTTCACGCTTTGATTCTTACTAGTTTTCTTAATATAATCAAAATTTACGTGGCTAAATCTCCGATGCCATAGCATTGCATCGTCTACTTTATTTAACTTTCCAATTTCTGTACCGTAACCAGCTTCCCTTTTACCTGTTGCATATCTAAATGGTTTTACGTGATAAAGTCCGTCATATCGTTTAGCGTAGCATAATCTATCCCAATTATTAAAGTATATCCACATCTTCCCTTTTGAAATCACAAAATGAGCACCAGCCTTTTCTAACCTTGCTCCCGATAATAAATTTCTTCTTAGATTTGGATTATATAACACATTATCTAACTCAATCCAATTTATTCGATTGCCTACTTTTACTGCAAATTTGACAGTACCCTTTCCTAGTAGTACTTTACTTTCACAATTTCCTACAGCTAAAAAGACATACGTATAATCGTTTATTTCTTCGAAATTTGTCATTAAATTTCTATTATTACAGAAATGAGTTGTAGCTGCAGTATCTACGACCCAATTAAATTTATCTGCGTTACCTCCTTTATCTGTAGTTGTTACATAATTTTCTACTAACATTAATTCTTTATCTTTAAACTGTCCATTTTTATCGTCTATTTTAAACTTCTGATTTTTACTTACATTTTCTTTACATTGAGCGATTAAGTGCCAAAATTTATGACATCTGAAACAAGGTCCTATTCTCATATTCCCCATTTTTTCTAGATTTAGTTTTATTTTCAACTTTATCTTTCCCTGCATTTAAACTAATAGTATTAAACACGCTTACCTTGTTGTCTTCTAAATCAGCAATTACCTGGCGAAGTCGGCTTTCTTCCCTTACCAGCTCTTCAGCAATTCTTTCCAGCGTAAAATCTTCGTCCTTCCACCTATAGATCAACTGTACAATGCCGGAGTATTCCTGGGGTAATCTCCTTATTGCCTGAAATCCTTTAAAAAGATCTGCCAAGTTGTGACCAGCTTCAGCCAACTTCTTTGCAGTCATTCTTATCCTCGCGATGAATAATCCTATTTCTTCATTTGGCGTATATCTAATACTAAAAAATTCATCCAGTAACTGAATTATCCTTGCTCTTGTTTTGAGTTCGAATTGCTTCTGTAGAACTTCCCACGCTTCTTTACCACTTGAACATTCTTGTATCAGCGGCCTGAACTCAGCTTTAATTCCGTAATATAATGTAGTGAAGGCTCTGTTCTCCCTCAGTGTGAACTCCTGCTTTTTCACGCCTTGTTGTTGCACTTTTATCTAATTCTTCTTCTTTGTCCTTCTATGAAGCTCCAACAATTTCTATCCAGTAACAGCATTTTCATGTCGACTTTCCATCGATCCCAGTTGTCATGGTTTAACAACTCAAAACCTTCAGGTAGTAATGACATCTTCAATTAAGTGTGAGCACAACGACTTGAACAAACTTCTAAGACAGGTCAGCTTCTTTTCGTGGATAATGGCCCTCTTCACCTACATTCCTTCAATGCTGAGTTGAACTGGATGACTGATTAGCTGTTGGCACTGGGCCCATAACCCTGTTGGCAGTGGTGATAAGGCAAAGCATAATTTGCTGCCTTTAAATAAAGCTAAGACTAAACTAAATAAAATTCATGCTTTATTCCGTAAATAAAATAAAAGAGCTAACACTTTAGCCTTTACATTTAAAATCATTAAGTGAAAGAAAAACTAGCATAATGCTAACTGATAATTACACAAGAGAACAAGAACAAGAACATTCGCCGATACCGGCGTACATATATATTTATACTCGGCCAATCCGCCAATCTTGACGTCATCGGCCAATCAGCGGCAAACACGTTAGCTTACCGCCTATCGACCTCCGATCAAAATTTGCATGTGGAAAACTAAAGCCAACAACGACTGCGCATATGCGTCTGCGCAAGCGCAGAATACGTCTTCGCGTGCGCGTTTAATGTATAACGGACGGTATAAGCTAAAATTATATAATTATCTATTTCAGTTAATGTTGATGATTGCGTTGTTCCTTAATCTTCGAAATGGATCCGGCTTATTATTTTTTGCAGACTATAAGAGCAATTTTATAAAAGTAAGCTTGAACTTTCGATTATGTCAAATTTCCAATGCTGGAGCTCCCAAAGGATCTACAAAACGAAAGTATGTTTCGATGTCCATCAAACAAAAAGTGGAATTGCTACAAAAAATGGATAAAGGCATATCCTTTGTTTATCTAACCGTTCTGAAATCTGTTTATCAATTTCACGCGGCTCTGCACGGGGGTGGGGGTGGAACGTTGCGGTGCGCAATGAACTGGAAGTTGATCTGTCAGCACTATCGTTATCTTCAGGGTAGATGTTTTTATTTTATTTGGCTTATAATTCCTTACTAAATGTAGTATTTCATCTCGATGTACTCCATCTTTGATATGATTTAAATCAAATTCCTCATCATTATAAATATCACGAATACAAATCAAATAGTTTTCTGGTTGCAATTTTCTAATTTCAGCTATGCGTAATGTATGCTTTACGCATGCACGTGTTGAAAGAAATGTTTAATAAAGTAACAAATAAATATTAAGTATCTTTTTTTGTAAATTTTGATACCGTTTAGATCATAATTGCTCATTATTTTATAAATTACGATTTCATATTTTTAATTTTATAATTTCTGCATGCCATCTTACCAGATTTAAACTGATGATCTATAATCCGGAATCGCCGAAGTCCCGACGAGTCCGAATTAAAGACTTTTGACTGTATTCATTGTAATTATCTAACATTCCTAATTCAATAAAACTATTAAATATTAAAATTTTTTAATAAAAATCCAATGCCTAAAAAATGAACAAAAGAATTAAAATTCAATCTAAATACATCCATACCTTTGCCTTAACAGATTCCTTCCTATTTAAATTGTTTCCACTTTTATCTTTCATTTGTACCATAGTTCCAACAATATTCTTCTCAGCTACATGAAGAAAACTCATGTTTTAAATGCTCTTAGAAATTAATGTGAATAATTAAATTTAAAACACGAGTCAAAATACATAGCAATGTTCAGAAGCAATTTTATTTTTGTTTCAAGTAGAAAAAGAAAAACTATAAGAGTAATCAATCTTACTTTTAACAGTCTCAAGCTCTGCAGTTACTGTCATTATCCATTTTTCTAGAAGTATCATATAGTATTCTCTCTTGAAGATGGGGAAGAAAAAAAAAAGAAAAAGACTAAAAGATGCAACTATTACAAATTTTTTTAATTTATTACAAAAACTCTACATATTAACATTTTAATTCATTTATTATTGAACTGGTTTTTAAGTGTACATTGAAAGCTGGGTACTTATGTATTATTTCACTGAACGTGAAAGACGGCTACCATCAAACCACGAAAGCTGGCAGAGGTCCTGCCAAAGTTGTGGCAGTCATTCATGCAGAATTCTGAAGGAACTAATGCCTCTTTATTTAATAAATAATCAGTATTCAACTTGCTTCATTTCTACATTTTGCAAAAAAACTTCTGTTGATTTCTACTATTTTATTATGCTTTCCAATTTTACTGGAAGCTATGTCTAAAATGCTATGAGTATAAATTTCCTGCAAGCGAGTATTCCAATCAATGACTGTTTTGTCACCATATTCAGCTAACCATATCATATCCATTAATATACACTTTTTTGATGGTTTGAGAAGGCCAGTCCATTTTTGAACACCCATTTTGTCAAGGTCTGGTTGTGCAAGTCTCGATGTGTGAATGAAGCAGTTATCCTGCTGGAAGAGAAATGGACCTTCCCTGAAATATTGCCACACAGCTGGGAGAGCAGCATTGTCCAGAAAGTCCACATACATCTCTGAGTTCATGTTTTCAACCACAGGAACTAAAGGACCCAGGCCAAACCATGAAAAACACTCCCAGACCATGATGCTGCCACCACCAAACTTTACATTCAGCACAATGCCATCACTTAAGAAGTGCTCACTGGGCATCCACCAAACCCACATGTGTCCATCAAACTGCCAGATTGTAAAGCAAGCTTCATCACTCCAAAGAACATTTCAGGGACGGGCCTAGATACTTTTGGCCTAAAAGTGTACATATGTACCGAAAGCTGGATACAAATAAAAAATAATTAAGCAGATAGTGTCATTCGATGAGTATGTCAAATAGTATCATTCATTAAGCTTATATTTACTTTGTTAATTACTATCTAATTAGTACTGTGTTGACGTTAATTTAATTCTCAATGCGGTGTTAATCAGTATCAATCTGTATTATTCTGTATCATAAGTGCGCCATAACTGGCTGCTTGGGTGTTTTCGTGATTTTCCACATGCGTAACGTGTATGCAGTATCGTCTGGATGCATACGTGAATAAAGCGGGCGCAGCCTGCGCAAAACCGCTGAACACTGGTAGTTTGGTCCAACTTTTGAATCCCAGCAAACAGGCTGACTCCATGGGTGTTTTCATGATTTTCTGAATGTGTAAATTTTATGCATATGTGGATAAAGTGGGCGCAGCCCTGGTAAAATTGCTGAACGCTGGTAGTACGATCCAACTTTCAAATTCCGGCGAACGGGCTGACTGCATGAGTGTTTTCATGATTTTCCGCATGCATATGTGAATAAAGCGGGCGCAGCCCGGGTAAAATCACTTAACACTGGTAGTTCGGTCCAACTTTACATATGTGTAACGTGTATGCAGTATCTTGTGGATGCATATGTGAATACAGCAAGCCCATCGCTAAATACTGGTAGTTTGGTTCAACTTCCCAATCCCAGCGTACTGTACAGAAATTGTGGATGCATACGTGAATACAGCGGCCACAGCCCGGGTAAAATCGCTGAACACTGGTAGTTTGGTCCAACTTTCGAATAAAGTCCAACAAAAAAGGGCTTCAGCCAGCGGGCTTGCCCGCTAGTAATACATTAAAAAGTGTATCAATGAAACTATCCCTAACTCTGTTGACAAATACAAACTTTAGAATACAGTAAAAATAGTTTTCAATTGCACCTTCCTCAAACTTTCTTTCTAATAAAAATTAATAGATAGTTTTCAATTACACCTTTCTCAAACTTTTTTCTAATAAAACTTAACAGACCATTAAACTTATTTTTTAAAAGTATTCTTAACACTGGTAGTCATTGATTGAATTTACCATGATTGATGGAAACTGAGTTACTGACTGGATGAAAATTATATCCTAACTACCTGAGCTAAATAAAATCATCTAGACAATGAAATAAAGGTACTTAATATTTGGAATATTTTAGTCTTAACAAAAAACAGTAACCAATATTTGCAATCAATTCATTCAAATTTTATAGTACACAGTTTACGTAATATACATATAGATAAGCAATTTAATATAAATTTGCATTTCCTTTTCTTTAATAACAGTTCATAATTTATTAAAAAAAAGGTACCATATCAGAAATTATTACAAAATATACATGCTTAAGTTACATACAAGATATGGAGAGCTATAACAAATAGAACAGCACTTAAAACATACAACATCAATATATAAAGCAATGCGTAGAATACATAAAACAAAAATGTATGGTGTCTCTCTTCATGAGTCATAATTTCAAAGATCGTTTCGTTTCAGGAGTCAAGGTTGGGAGAGCATTAGAATTTCAAATCAAAACTTCAAGATTTCACAGAACATAGAAATAACATTTATTAACGATAAACTTATATTACTTCCGCCTATAGCGGCCATGAAACATAATCAAGCATAAAAAAAAAAAAAAAATACGACATGCCTCATTCTTCATGTTCAAGCATCAAGTGGAATATTTTTCATCGGCGCGCATCAAGAGCACCACCTATCTACCGAAAAGACAGAACATACTCCGCCCCGATGAACATTGGTTCATTACAACATTGTTATAAAGATCTTCAATTTTAGATTTAAACAAGTTTTCCAAAAGTTCAACAGTATATCATATAAAATAAAAATGCATAATGACAAATTTAGTTGAATAACAACATTAAATTTAGCACAAAATTTTACAAATAAAACATACTTACAATCTCTAGAAGGAAAACAAAATAATGAAATTGCTAAATTACCATAATCCACAATTGTGGTCCATTCTCTGAATCTGAAACATAATTGAATTAATAAAAATAATAAAGACACAAATTATGAATATACAATTAATGGATTTTTTTTTTTAGAGTCTTATTCACTCAATGGTAAGCGGGAAAGTTTATGTATAGGACGCTTCATTTCGCCCAATAAAGTTTTTTAGTTTCACAACACGAACTTTTCCATCAGCACCAGGATATAGTTCAATTACTCGTCCAAGTCGCCACTTTAATGGAGGCAAATTTTCGTCCTTTATCAAGACTAAGTCATTGAGGGCTAAATTTGGTTTATCCCTCAACCATTTGGTATGCCCTTGTAATTGTGAAAGATAATCTCTAGACCAACGTTTCCAAAAGCTCTGGAAAATTTGCTGTGTCAATTTCCATCTTTCAGCAGGGGTTAGCTTATTATTTGTAAGATCAGGTTCAGGAATTGCTGTTAATGTAGTCCCAATTAGGAAATGTCCAGGTGTTAAAGGATTAAAATCTTCAGGGTCAGATGAGATGGAAACTATTGGCCTGGAATTCAAACACGCCTCGATTTGTGTAATTAAGGTGTGAAATTCTTCGTATGTCAGAACCTGGGTCCCAATAGTTCCGCTTTAAGTGAATCTTCATTTGTTTCACTCCAGCCTCCCAAAGGCCTCCAAAGTGAGGGGCAGCAGGAGGATTGAAGATCCATTGAATATTTTCACCGCTCAGGTAGTTTTGAAATGCTTCTTCAGAGGAAAGTGTAGCTTTGTATCTTCTTTTTAATTCTCGATCAGCCCCAACAAAGTTGGTTCCTCTATCGGAAAAGATTTTCTTGGGTTTTCCTCTGCGTGACACAAATCTTTTCAGAGATGCTAGGAATGCTTCAGTTGTTAGATCACTGACTACTTCTAGGTGAATGGCCTTTGTGGTGAAGCATATGTAAAGGCAAACGTAACATTTATATCTCGTTCCTCCTCTCTTCCTTTCCTAGCTTTAATTAAAAAGGGGCCTGCAAAATCTAGTCCTGTATTCGAGAATGTTCTATCCGGCAATACGCGAGAAGCAGGTAGGTCGCCCATTATCTGACTGGATGTGCTTGTTCGATTTTTAAAACATTTTATACATTTCCAAATTATTTTTCTTACAATTTCTCGGCCATTAACGATCCAATATTTCTGTCGCAGAGCAGATAATGTTAATGTGGCTCCTCCGTGAAGGTTCACTTCGTGAAAGTGTTTGACTATCAATTCAGTAACTTGGTGACTTTTGGGAAGAATGATTGGATACTTTGTGTTTTTTCTGAAAGATTCGAGTTACAGAGTCTACCACCGACTCTAAGGATTTCTTCTCTATCAAGAAAAGGATTTAATTTCAGGATTTTACTGCTGAGATTCAATTTCTTCCCTGCTTTCAAAAGTCTAATTTTCTTCTCTAAATTCGGAATTTTGCATGATTTTAAAAATCAAATTGCTTGCCTTATCCAATTCTTGAACTGTTAAAAAACCCTTGAGTTTTAAAGATGTAGGTTTAATATTGTGGGCAGAATCTTAAACACCATGCAGTTACGCGTTTCAATTTTTTCCAGGATGAAAACCTGGATGTCAATTCAAATTCAGCCTCTTGGCTAATAACAGAACATACAGTAGTTTGACGCTGTTCTACCTGTACCTCTTCCACCATAGGCTCGATCAAAGGATCAAAAGATGATGAAGGTACATTTTTCTCTTTTAACCACACTGGTCCATTGAACCAAAGTTTATTTTCCCACTAGATCAGAAGCTCTTAATCCACGTGAAACTATGTCAGCCGGATTGTCATTTTCCCTTACAGTATTTCCATTGCGAAGGTGATACAACATCTTGTATTTCACGTACACGATTAGCAACAAAGGGTTTCCATTTATCAGCGGTACCCCTGATCCAGTGAAGAACAATTTTAGAGTCACTAAAACAAAATACATTATCTTCTTGGATATTAAATAATTTCCTTAAATATTTAACTATTCTTGCGGCAATAATGGCTCCCATAAGTTCTAAACGAGGCAAGGTTAATTTTTTAAGTGGGGATACACGGCTCTTTGAAAGAACAAAAGACGTACAGCAAGAATCAGGATCACGAAAATATGC